TATATATATATAAATATATATATATTTACTGTATCTATACAATTTCACCAAATGATTGAATAGCCCTATTTGGAAAGAATTTATAGTTGCACTATTTTAAGGTTCAATTCTTGCTATTAGCAAACCACTAAATACTTTTGCTTCAATAAACTGCTAATTTGTTCTTTATTAATAGATATTAAGTTAGCGCAGGTATTGTGTTAGGGATGTAGAAAAAGATAATGCAGAATACGTACATTATAAGTATTCAATTCAATTTAATTCATGTTTATATTTATAGCGCTTTTTACAATGTAGATTGTCTCAAAGCAGCTTAAAGAGCCCATATTATGGGTTTTTGAAAATGCTCTTCCATGTAGTGTGTAACACAGCTCTAAGTGAAGTGAAATATCCAGCTATGGCTTAAATCTGTAAGAGTAGTGTTTAAAACTGTTGATTCATCTATAAAAGAGTCGACTCATAGTGCTTCAAACGAGTCGTCTTGATAACGAGTCATTAGGTGTTTTGCCATGACGTGACAACAAAACCAAGTAGTTGCGCGCACAAACCCGGGAGATTTGAAACCTGCGGCCCCGCCCTCTAACACAGAAAAAGCCACACACACAAACACGCGCACACACAGACGCACGCATGCACGCTCGCACGCACACACACGCACACACACACACAGACAGACACACACGCGCGCACACACAGACACACACGCGCGCGCGCGCACACACGCACATTATTGAGTCTTTACCCAAAGATGAAACCTCAGCATTAGAGCCCAGCCTTGAGCAGTTTGAGTGCTTCTGGAAACTACATGCTACAAAGAATACTTCATCGGCCGTTTGTTAAAGGAAGGATCAGTAAAGAGTACTGATGGACTATGTCAGAACCTGGATGGGTTTCTTCCTCCATTTCTCAAGTGTAAGTACGTGCGAATAAAGTTGTTGCCTCGTTGACTCTAGCTTGCAAATGTATTTAGTTGTGTTTTGTTACTTGTAACCGCGTGTACTGTCTCAGGTTAACTCGCTATATTCTCATATCGCGTGTAAAGCCACGTTAAAAACGCCACGCGTGCTGCTTTGTTTACGGACCATCGTGGAGGAGGGTAATGTGTGTGTGTCTGTGTGTGTGTGCGCGCGGTGTCCTCCTCCAAGGAGGGTTATGTGTGTGTGTGTGTGTGTGTGTGTGTGTGTGTGTGTGTGTGTGTGTGTGTGTGTATGAGTGAGAAAAGAGCAGAGTGTGACATCTCCTCACCAGTTCTTGGAGTTTTTGTTAATAAAATAGTTAGTCGTCATAGTTTGAAGTCCATCATCTGTATTTACATTCATCCACTGGCAGCCAAAATCCACACCTCACACTATGAAGCGTGTACGCACTGTGATTACTTTTATATTGCTGATTAGCTGCTGGGCATTTCACTCTGTCTCGCGCTGAAGGCAGTCAGTGTCGCCCAATCGCAACAGACTGTCATCGGTACAATAATTTTTATATATTTACAGGAAAATTTTACCTCATTTTTGCTGATACAAACTTTTAAGTCCAGTCATTTTGTTAATAAAACATTTAGTTATTTAGCAAATTTTAGTGTGTAATTTATATCTCCTATATAAAATGAGAATATTGCATAACAATAAAAAATTTAAATACTGCATTTGTCATATATTATATATACATTTATTAAAAAAGTATCAAATGTTTGGGGCCACCTGAAATCTTTTTGCCAAATTATGTTTCTGTGTTATTTTATGTTTCCAATGTCCAATCACATGAATCAATAAACCATAAACAAATATCTAATATTGTGATATATAATTTATTTCATACCAAACTAATATGATAAATTAAAACCAAGAACTCATCCATCTCATTAAATTATTTTGTTTGTCAAATCTGATTCAGTGCACTGTCACAAATTATATTAAATTAAGCATATTCTATAATCACATTTCCTTATGTCAAATACACAAGACAGTAGAGCTGTGAACCTACAATAGTCTCACGATTCGGTTGGGTTACGATTATCATGACATCGATTCGGTTCAATTTGATATTTCGGTGCATCACGGTGCATGACGATGCTTTTATATTTTTTTCACAGCAGCAGCTCTTGTATTAAAATGTATGAATATATTTATATTTATAGGTTATTATTTGTAATACAATTGTGTCATTTAATACAAACAGTCAGATATATAAACTGTAACTTTGAAAAAAACGAGCATTAAGCAAATAATATAAACAAATATAAATATCCAGCTCAATTTCTGATCCTTGTCTAGTTCTCTTACACCCCTTTGATTGGGATTGATTGGGTTGCGATTGGCTGTTGCGTGCTGCGCTCTTCAGATGAATGATAAGCGGCAGGGGTGATCTCACAGCTGATCTATGATAGACACGGTGGAGAAATCTCTGCAGACACGCGCTCGTTTCTGTATGCAAAAGTAACACTGTAAAACAGCCGAGAGGAGAAGAAAAGCCACGCCAGCAGGTCAAATGGGCCACTGTGTGTGTGTGAGAGAGAGAGAGAGAGAGAGAGAGATGGGGTAGGCTACTTTCATTCTCAAACTCACACAGTGAAATTGTGCACAGTTCATGAGTATTAAGTAGTTAGAGCGCTGTAAATACTCGCGATCGTCTCCCTCGCGACAGAGCGCATATGAGGTAAATGACGTCAGTAATAACCGGTTATGATTATTACTGAACCGATACCGAATTGTCCGCGTCTGCATCGCGGTGCATCGAAGAAACAATTAATTTTGACACCCCTACAAGACAGGAATTATATTTCATATTAGTAACTGCATTGTTATATAGAGATACACACTCACCGCACTGTCAAACTCTATACTGGTGATTCCAGCATTACTTCCCGTCAGTGCACCTTTAGGTTCACATCGCCCTGCAGACACATACAAACAAAGCCTTTAAACCATAAACATACACACATATCATAATCTATAGGCACCATGTATCAGGAGGAAACAAAAAACTCTGCAGTTGTTCTATTAAAGCAGTGGTTCTCAAAGTGGGGGTCGACTGGTTTTTTCCAAAACCCTATTTTTATTAAACCATAAGAATTATCTCATTTTATCCACAACCTGCAGAAGAGAAATAATAGTTGTTTATATTTGCTACATACTGCTGTATTTAGTTATGCCTAGTTCAGACTGCGTGATTTTAGCCCTGATTTTGGCTCGCCGACAGGTTTTGAGAAATCGCCGACAAATGCCTGAAATCACAGGCAAATCGCTGCTCGTGCACGTGAGTGACAATCACACAGTATGAACTATCAAAGACGCGATCTGAGAGAATCGTAGATGAGTCGCCGATGCCTGTGAGATATTTGGCGTACTGAATATCTGGAGCTGTCGGCGACTCAAATCATGCCGTGTGAATTGAGTTTTGACTGAAAATAACATCAGCGATCGCCTACAGCCAATGAGAGAGCAGCGTTCACTTGTGTGTGCGTGTGTGTATACCTGCTGCAGGCCAGCGGGAGGCTGGGGGAGAAGTTAAAAGCGCTCTTTTTCGGTTTATTTGAACCCACGAAATGGAGGAAAAACTAGCGGAGGTTTGACAGGACTCAGGAGCACCCGTGTCTGTTTGACGTTTCATACAGAAAGAAATTTGTTTATTATCAACATTGAGGAGAAATGGCTAATTCCCTTTAAACCCAGGTGAGCAAATATGTACATGTTCTACCCCATTAAAGGCTTCTTTCTCATTGTCACTGGCATTGTCATTTTGGGGGTCGCAGGCTGAAAAGTTTGAGAACCCCTGCATTAAAGGGATAGTTCACCCAAAAACAGGATGGAAACGCTACTTTATTTAGAAATGTTTAATGCAGTTTTCCAGTTTGTGAATGAATCTAATTAACATCTTTAGACTGAAAATGCTGCTTTTTCTCTAACATTCTTCAGAATATCTTGTTTTGTGTTCAACAGAAAAAAAAATTCATAAACGTTTTCAAGCACTTTCGGGTGAACCGTCCCTTTAAACCTTATGAAACTGAGCTTGAGCAATTTCCTCTTTGCAGCGACTGAAGGTCTCAGCTTGAAAACTTGAGATCATGAGCCCGTTAAACGTCCTCCTTCAGTCCAGCCCTCCTGTGTGTGATGTTTCTGTCGGACGATGCTGATAAAAGTCTTGTAATTCTCTAAAAGACTCTAATTATACAGCATAAACGTCCATAATATCAGCCGCCACCTCTATCCAGCAATGCATGACTAGAGCATGCTGGGAAATTATTAACAGGGGCTGCTGGGAGAGACAAACGGACTGAAAGGAGACGAGGGCTTCGGACCTTTTACATCTCATCACTGACCTCTGATGTGTAGGTGAAGTCAGAATTATAAGCTGTATATTTTACCCCCAATTTCTGTTTAACAGAGAGAAGATTTTCTTCAACACGTTTCTAAATACTAGTTTTAAAAACTCTTTTCTAGTAACTGATTTATTTTATCTTTATCATCATGACAATGCGTAATATTTGACTAGATATTTTTCAGGATACTAGTACTCAGCTTAAAGTGACATTTAAAGGTTTATTTGGGTTAATTAGGTTACATTTACATTTAGCAGACGCTTTTATCCAAAGCGACTTACAAATGAGCCTAATTACAGTTAGGGTAATTAGGCAAGTCATAGTATAACAGTGGTTCGTTCTGTAGACAATCCAAAACAAATATTGCTTAAAGGGGGCTAATAATATTGACCTTAAAATGGGCTTAAAAAAATTAATAACTGCTTTTATTCTAGTCGAAATAAAACAAATAAGACTTTTTCCAGAAGAAAAAACATTATAGAAAATACTGTGAAAAAATCCTGAATCTGTTAAACATCATTTGGGAAATATTTGAGAAAAAATACTTGAGAGGCTAATAATTTTGACTTCAACTCTATATATGTGATGGATTATAAACAGTAAACAGTACCAGATACGACTTCCCAGAGTTTGACCCGGCGGTCCATTCCTCCTGTGGCGAGCAGACGAGAACCAGGACTAAACCTCACAGCGTTCACTTCTCCATCATGAGCGTCCTACACACACACATACATACACACATACATACATACATACAAAGATAAATGAGATCTTTGCTTCGGCTTTTTGAAATGTGTTTGGAAATTTAAACACTAAATTTAGCAGTCCGACTATATATTAGGTGGCCTTAACTAATAAACTAACTAGCTAGTTAATATATATTAATAAGGGATGCACCAAATTTTTGGCAATTATCAAGCCGAAAAAAATGGATATGCTACACCACATTGACCATCAATGTTCAGCTTTTACTTTCTCCAGCTTTACTCACAGTGCAATATGGAGAGGCTTTCACACTGGATGCGTAAAAAGCAATGTGCTATGAAATTGTGAGTTTTTGACTCTTCTAAAGCATAATCACACCATAATATGTTTGCAGATATTCAGAAACATGCTCAGTGAACATTCTTGTTTATCTGAAAAACAATCCTGAAGTCAGATATTCTGCTTTGAACATGTGTGCTACATGCCAGCACGGGTGTCTTCGTTTTGGTCATTTAACCCGCCCACTGCAAGTTTAGCCAATTATATTTCAGCACCCGGGTTGTCTTGGTGGAAAACAGCGTATTTCATTCAGTCAGTCATGAAGACTCTCAAAGCATGCGTCTGTGACTGAAATGCGACCTCTGGTGGACAGTAGCAGACTCTGAAATGAGACGCAGATTCAGAGTTCCACATAAGGTGGTTATTAATCAGCAAATAATATAAATATTACGATTGTAAACATTAGCTGAGACGGGTATATTGTAACCCTGTGTCCTAACAACTAGCTACATGTAGTAGTAAGGTTTATAATCTAATTAATACACATTAAACCTCTTCAACATGATTAAATGTAGATGCTGAATCACTGATATGTGTTGGTTTGCTCTGAGTCACAGTTCTGAAGTTCAGTTTCAGACGGTTTATTTTATTTTCCAGATCTGAGGTGAACTATCTGCTGCTGCTTTCAGTACAATGGCAATAAATGTCACGTGAAATGGCATTCAGACTCACATTAGTAGCATTTAACACTGAATAAAGCACATGAGCTGTACCTGAGCTGATCAGTTTTCTGTTGTTCAGCTGTGAGAAACTGAAGCCGTTTCTAAAATATAAATTTCAGGTGTTGGTTAGGACTAAAACTAATTTTAGTCAGTGGCAATAGCCTAGTGGTTAAGTGCGCCGACATATAGCACCATGGTGCTCACGGCGACCTGAGTTCGATTCCAGGCTCGAGGTTCTTTGCCGAACCCTCCCCTCTCTCAGCTCCCAACTATTTCCTGTCAATTCTCTGCACTATTCGATCCATTAAAGGTTAAAAATTCCTAAAAAATTATTTTTTAAAAACTCATTTTAAAATGAAGAATATTCCTTCTATCGTATGTTGCTGCTTTTAGTTAAACACAATTTAAATCAGCCTCTAGCCTCGATAATCTGTTGGTCCTTAATCTGGCAACCTGCACTTGCATGTGTTTTGACCAGGAATGTAATACCTAGTTCAACCACTGGGTGTCAAACGTACATACTGCACCTTTATTATTTCCAATGGGCCATGGAAACATACATGTTTGGTTTAGTAGGCCGCAAGGTAACAAAGATTTAGAGCCACTCAATTGTTATTTATTTCAAGCTTTCAAGAGGTGTGTACTATGAAATACAAGAGCTAAATGGAGTACAATGATTATTTATATTAAACAATAATAGATAACCTTTTAGATATAAACATTGCATTCTTCTATTTTAAAGGTCTCAGCTTGAAAACTTGAGATCATGCACCAGTTTAATGTTCTCCTTCAGTCCGGGCCTCCTGTGTGTGGTGTTTCTGTTGGACGATGCTGATCAAAGTCTTATAAATCTCAATAAAAACTAATTATACAGCATAAACGTCCGTAATATCAGCCGCCACCTCTATCCAGCAATGCACCACTAGAGCATGCTGGAAAATTATTAACAGGGGCTGCTGGGAGAGACTGAGGGACTGGAAGGAGAGCTGGATGTCAGACCTTTTACATCACATCATTGACCTTTGAACTATGCATGAGAGGGGAAAAACAGATTTCATATCTCCAGATTCTTTATCTAATGATTCTGAAAGAATTCAGTTCAGAATAGATTCTTTATTCAAATTTGATTGTGAAGGTGCGGGACTATAATATAATATAATATAATATAATATAATATAATATAATATAATATAATATAATATAATATAATATAATATAATATAATATAATATAACAATAATTAATAATATAATATAATAATATAATATATCAAATATAATATAATATATCAAATATAATATAATATAATATAATATAATATAATATAATATAATATAATATAATATAATATATGCTGCAAAACTCACTTAATTTGGACAAAAACAGACCAACTAAACCATTTTAAAGCCGTGATTCAGCTGGCTCTCTGTAGATCTGAATAAAAAGCAATTCTAAAATAATTCTCAGAAATCGTATATAAATTATATCAACATGTTGGCTTTGAAGACATTTCATCATTAAAAGTTTATAAACAAACAAACAAAAATGTAATGCTAACTATTTGTTTGTGTATTTATTTAGCAACGTACGGCTATTTTATGGCAAAATCAATATAGATTAAAAAAATTACTTCATAATTCAGTCAGAGATTATACAAAAATAAATAAAAATTACATTAACATCATAAGACATACTTTTTCAGTTCAATACATTACAATTAACTTACAATACTTCCAAGAGGATACATTTTTGACACATTCACCAAGTGTGCGGTTTTGAACCAAGAACGATTTGTTCATTATAATTGCTTTTTGTAATCTTGTGTTTCAATTTTACATGCAGAGAGTGATCATACTGAATATAGCTGTTCATGAAATAAATAATATTTAAGATGGCAAGACAGTCAAACATAGATTCCAATCATAAATAAAAGCATCAAAACTCAAATTCTGGTTAAAATGTATAGTTGGAGAGATGTATTTGCACAGCTAAGAGAGAGAGAAAGAGAGTTGAGTTTATTGCCATATCAGCTTTTCCCTCAAGGCAAAAAGAGATTTACAAACATTTCATATACATTACTTTTCAATAATAATTAAAATAATAATCATTCTACCATTTTTTCAAATATTAAATTATGCAAAAAAATTACATTTAAATATTAAAGTATTAAAAAACAATGTTTTAATATTTTTTTAAATATTAAAAACATAAAAAATATTTAAATTTTACAACTTACATAAATATTAAAATATAAAAATTAATATTTAAATATTAAAAACAGTTTAATAAAATATTTAAAAAAATAAAATATTCAAATATTTAAAAATAACAAATTTTAAAATATAAATATTTATATTTAAATATTAAAAACAGTTTAATAAAACATTCTTTAAAATAAAATATTTATTTTAAAGTCTTTCTAAAAAAAAATTGTCTGATAGATATGGGGCGTTCCAAAAGTACATGTTAAACAGTTTGTGTACTATTGCTATTGCATTGCATTTTGGAGAAACTTTTTCTTCCGAATAAATGGCCATGTGAGTCTATTGAGTCTCGTGTCTCCAATGCAGCACCTTACATTATATTAATATAAATAACCTCATCATGTCTTGAGTTAAAAACTAGTTTGATTTTCTTTCTACTAAGAGCTAGGTTGAGTTTATTATTTGAGCACTGATCCCATTCTGTTTATTTGCACAGCTGAAGAAACAGGGAAAAAATGTGTGCAAGGAATTGATTTGTAATGAAAAATGCATGAAAGAGGAACTCACAAAGATGTGGAGTGCAGTGGAGGGAACACGCACATCCGCACACGCCGACGGCACTTCTGCGTTTTCAGGAGACGAGCTGAACGAATTCACGGAGCGACGTCTTCTGAGGGGGGAAAATAAATACAACATCATGTGTCACAAGGGGGCTTTTCGGAAGCCGCATTAAATCTCATGTTCCTCACAAAACAAGTCGTCTTCATAAAGAGGTCCATTCACATGTGCAAATGCATGACTGAAGCCATAACGCTGAGTTTAGCAGTGCAACACTGAAGGTTTAAAGGGCACCTATGATAAAAATCAACGTTTTGAAGCTGTTTGGACAGAGCTGTGTGTAGTATAGTGTGTACAGAGTCATATTGGCCTGATAGAAACACAATAAGTCCCTTTTTTTAATTTCCTGACGTTAAAATATAATCCAAATTCCTCCCATTTTGAGGCCAACCACAACTTGATGTTGAAGGTGGGGCTTAGCAGAGTTTGGATTGGAGCAATCAGTAAAGGCTGATTTATACTTCTGAGCCACGTGCACGCGTATGCTGCATGTATAGCACTCGCCGACGCTGACGCGCACCTCTCAAAAAATTAACTACACATCGCAATGGCGTATAGCCCAAGTGTGGGCGGAGGTGAGAGCCGCGCAAGGGAGATCCAGATTAAAAGCGTTGTTTTGTGTTTATCTTATGATTAATGTTGTTGCACGTCTGACAGTTCCCGCCTCAAAATGAGCAAGTTTGAACTACTTGTATGTTAAGGTAGCATTCAGAACAGAAAAAAAACCCACCAGCGAAGAAACTCGACACTGACGAACATAAACACCTCACTGCCAGCAGAGTTTTAGAAGTGTTACTGCTGAGCAACAGAAACAGCACGCAGAAGTACAGTAGAAACCAGAAGTTTGCATACACTCTAAAAACAGGAACATAACAGTTTTTTAAAAATGTCTGATGGTAAATCATACTAATCGTTAACTATTTTAGGTCCGTTAGGATTTCCTGAATGATTTACATTTGCTAAATGCCAGAATTTTTTTTTTTTTTTGAGAATTGTTCATTAATTTATAGACAGTCAAAAGTTTACACACATTTCCATGGTATTTTTTTAGCTTTGCTTATAAACTGTATAACTTTGGTCAAATGTTTTGCGTATCCTTCTACAAGCTTCTCACAATAGTTTGCAGGAATTTTGGCCCATTCCTCCAGACAGAATTGGTGTAACGGAGTCCGATTTGTAGGCTGTCTTGCTTGCACAAGCTTTTTCAAATTTTCTATAGGATTGAGATCAGGGCTTTGTGATGTCCACTCCAAAACATCCACTCTGTTGTCCTTAAAGCACATTTGAACCAATTCAGCAGTAAGCTTAGGGTCATGGTCTGTTTGGAAGACCCATTTGTGGCCCAGTTTTAATTTCCTGGCTGATGTCTTGAGATGTTGCTTCACTATTTCTACATAATGTTCTGTCTTCATGATGCCATCTATGCTGTGAAGTGGACCAGTTCCTCCTGCGGCAAAACAGCCCCACAACATGATGCTGCCGCCTCCATACTTCACAGTTGGGATGTTGTTTCTAGGCTTGTAAGCTTTCCCCTTTGTCCTCCAAATGTAACACTGGTCATTATGGCCAAACAGTTCAATCTTAGTTCCATCAGACCACAGGACATGTCTCCAATATTATTATTTTTCCCAGTGTAATTCAGCAAGTTGTAGTCTTGCGTTTTTCGTGTTGATTCTGGCTTGTTGATTTTCCCATGTTGTCACACGAGGAAGCAGTGTGTTTGAGGTTTTCCCTAAATACTATTCTACAGTTGTGCCTCCAATTGACTCAAATGTTGTCAATTAGCCAATCAGAAACTTCCAAATCCTTGACATCATCATCTGAGCTGTTTCAGAGGCATGATAATCCTATTGTGTGTAAACTTGACTTTCAAGAAAAGTTATAACAATTTCTCAACAAATATCCCTCTCATTATTCTGCTATTAAGCAGAACAGAAACAAATGTTATAATCCTAACTTACCTAAAAGAGAAAAAGTTGTCACATTAACATCTGACTTTTTTTTTTAATGGTTATGTGCCTTTCTATACAGTGTATGTAAACTTCTGCTTTCTATTGTATAAATGCACGACTACACACACTGTATGCCGATCACTTGATGCAGAAATATAAACTAGGTTAAAGTGTGGAGCAGGGGAGGTGGTATGAGTGATTGGTAAGTGAAGAGCCTGAGAGGAGGATTATTTATTTATTATATCCATATTTATATTTGTTTTATTAAAAACAAGCTTGGATTTGCCCACCTGTCAGGTTTAAGACCAAATGGGGCACAGCATGTGTATTAGGATATAACTCAGTTGTTTGAGCACACTTCGTTATTATTGTTCATTTATTCGTTTGCTGGAAATTAGAACTGAATTTAGAAATAGTTTTGAAACAAATCTTTGCGCTTAACAAAGGAAATTAATTATTTAATAGGCTAATTGATGTCTGTGTGTACATGGTTTCCCTGTCCACAAGAGTGAAAGTAGATACTGAGAGGCCTAATCTCTCATTCTCGCGCTGTAGATGCTCTGTTTAACTGTTTTCTTGCTAGTGAAAAGCTCAGTTTCTCCACTTACACTTACTTTACGTCATGTAAATAGCAAATGCACCATGGCATGATGCAGCTGGCTCTTAAAGGGAATGGGAGATGAGACTCTGATTGGTTTATTCTCAAAACACACCTATAACTCATTAAGAGAGTAAGCTTAACCCTTTTAGACCATGCGACAGAGCGCAAAACAGATTTTTCTGTCCTTATATTAGCAAAAGTGGATTCTGCACGGCCTGAATGCGTTTGCGCCCTGCACTTTGTCCATGGACCGTCAAAATAGAGCCCACTTTTTGTTCAGAGCTGAAAACCCAAATGTTCAGAAAAGTAAAATAAATGAAATGATGGGTATTTTGAGCTGAAACTTTACTGACACAAAGTGGCGGGGAAAAGACTTATTTTAAATCTTGAAAATGGGGTAAAATAGGTGCCCTTTAATGTAAAAAAAAAAAATCTTTAACACACAAATAATGCAAACTCTGATGCACATAAGACTCAAGCTCAAACCTACAGTTCGAGTCAGAACTAGTTGCCCTCCTGTGACTTTTTATTTATTTATTTTTTATATTTCCCAAATGATTCAACAGAGCAACAAATTTTTCACCGTATTTCCTATAATATTTTTTCTTCTGGAGAAAGTCTTACTTGTTTTATTTCGGCTAGAATAAAAGCAGTTATTAATTTTTAAAACACCATTTTAAGGTCAATATTATTAGCCCCTTTAAGCTATATTTGTTTTCGATAGTCTACAGAACAAACCACTGTTATACAAAAACTTGCCTAATTATCCTAACCTGCCTAGTTAACCTAGTTAAGCCTTTAAATGTCCTTTAAAGCTGAATACTAGTATCTTGAAAAATATCTGGTCTAATATTATTTACTGTCATCATGGCAAAGATAAAATAAATCAGTTATTAAGAGATGAGCTATTAAACTTATTATGTTGACAAATGTGCTGAAGAAAATCTCTCGGTTAAACAGAAACTGGGGAAATAAATATTCAGGAGGGCGAATAATTCAGACTTCAACTGTGCCTTGGAATGTCATGACTGACCAATCAGAGTCAAGTATACCAGACAGCAGTGTAATAACACCCCTGATCACTTCCTCCTCTTCATTTCTAATGCGACATTAATATGCCCTGAATTTCAGCTCGTTGTTTACAGCAGTAAAATCCCCCACCCTGCAAAACCTCACACACAACTACACAAAGAGCAACAAACAACTTGCAAATGCCACTAATACATTTAAAGACAGAGCAGCATCCTGATGGAGATCACTCTCACACACACACACACACACACACACACACACACACACACACACACACACACACACACACACACACACACACACAAACACACACACACACACACACACACACACACGAAAAAAACCCTAAATGCCTTTCACTGAAACACGCTTCTCAGTACACAGCACTCTCATACGCACGCACACACGCACGCACGCACAGAGAAATTCTGACACCACAGTGTGTATCACCTGGAGTCAGATGGGATGAAACCAGGTTGGACAGAATCAGACAAGCTGCAGACACAGAGAGAGTGTAGAATGAGACACACACACACACACACGGTCGACAAACAACCTCACATGCAAACATGCATCCACAACACACACAAAATACACTCACACACGTGCGCACAAGCATGTACATACACACATGCAAACAGACACGCATGCATGCACAACACACACACAAAATACACTCGTGCAAATGCATGCACAACACCCACATGCAAACACACACACATACAACACGCAAACACGCATGCATGCACAACAATCATACATAGCCTACACATATGCATACAAAACACACACACACACACACAAAGACTGATACACAGGCAGAAACACACACACATGCACACAAGCACAAAGGTACAGGCACATCAACGCACACACTATGAACACACACACTTGCACCGCACACAAGGAACACATGCATTCACAGACTCGCACACAATGAACAACAGACACACACGCACACCACACAAATATGCGCAACAGACATGCACAACACACTCACATGTGCGCACACAACAGACACACGCACACAAGACACAAATACACACACAGACCCACAAGCACACACACACCAATGCACACGCTCATGTATGATACACAAACAAAGAAACATGTCCAGGCCACGCGTCGCATTAGAAAATGAAAAATATTTCAACATCACCACACAGTTTTGCTTTAGACCTCAGTCCTACATTTGACCTGGACATGTTTCAGATCAGTTTTATGAGGACAAAATGAAAAAGAGAAGAGAGAAAGATGAAAATATTTGCGTTGATAAACACACACACACACTCACACATACAAACCTACCCAAACATATTAGAGATGGAGTCCAGCAGTCCTGCGGGAGGAGGGGGCTGAGACAACCGTTTACTAAAACACACACACACAAACAAACACACACATATACACACACACACACACACACACACACACACATCATTAGTGACTGTGATTGATAGTATATTGTATACAGCTCGAGTTGTGTAATAAGTGTGCTGACCTGGGTGTGCGACTGAGCTGTCTGCTCGGTGACGTTTCACCCGTTGCCTTCCCAGCATCCTCTGTGAGAACCTCGATGTCATCATCTCTAAACCAATCAGAAAACAGCATCCAATAAAACATCAATATCAGCTAACAGGGTCATCACCAACGCCATTATAGTCATTCATTCATTCATTCATTTTCCGTTTGGCTTAGTCTTTTTAATAATCCGGGGTCGCCACAGCGGAATTAACCGCCAACTCATCCAGCAGGTTTTTACACAGCTGTTGCCCTTCAAGCCACAACCCATCTCTGGGAAACATCCACACACACTCATTTACAAACTCACTCATACACTATGGACAATTTAGCCTGCCCAATTCACCAGTACCGCATGTCTTTGGACTGTGGGGGGAAACAGGAGGAAACCCACGCAAACGCAGGGAGAACATGCAAACTCCACACAGAAACACCAACTGAGCCGAGGCTCGAACCAGCGACCTTCTTGTTGTGGGGCAACAGCACTACCTACTGCGCCACTGCGTCGGTAATTATTATAGTCTACTCAAACAAAATGCTGTTACTACTGGAAACTAAATTAACATCGACTGACTGAACTATTTTTATTTAGTTTAATAAGCTGTGCTAAAATAACAACAGTAAAAGTAGAAGTTAAACTACAGTTGAAGTCAGAATTATTCGCTCCCGTTTATTTGTCTCCCCAATTTCTGTTTAACAGCGAGCAGATTTCCTCAACACATTTCAAAACATAATACTTTTAATAATTCGTCTCTAATAACTGATTTATTTAATCTTTGTCATGATGACAGTAAATAATATTAGACTAGATAATCATCAAGACACTTCTATACAGCTTAAAGTGATATTTAAAGGCTTAACTGGGTTAATTAGGTTAACTAGACAGGTTAGAGTAATTAGGCAAGTTATTGTGTAATGATGGTTTGTTCTATAGACTATCAGGAAAATATAGCTTAAAGGGGCTAATAATAATAATAATAATAATAATAATAATATTGACCTTAAAATGGTTTTAAAAATTTAAAAACTGCTTTTATTCTAGCCGAAATAAAACAAATAAGACTTTTTCTAGAAGAAAAAATATTATCAGACATACTGTGAAGATTAAACATCATTTGGGAAATATTTAAAAAAGGAAAAAAAAGTTAAATGGGGGTTCAATAATTCTGATTTCATCTGTATATAGCTATATTTATTGATATATTACATAAACGTTTATAAAAAAATTAAAACATTTTATGTTTAAAAAGTCCAGTAGGACGATCATCGCTCTTGTCCAGTCTATTTCAAAGGGAACTGATCGTACCAGTTGCGCTTTCTCTAGGCACGGGGTTAGCGCACGCGCTTTTTAACAGTCACGCGCATTACATCCCCTGTGTGCGCGAGTGATTATCCTCTCGTTCGGTATTTACCTTCTTCTTTGCTGTTTTGTTCGCGCAAACACAGTTATTTTTGTCAGTCGTGCTGCTTCTCGATTCTAAGATCACATTTGCACGAATATCGGGCCATGCTTATTGTTGAACCCTGCTTTTAAGAAATCTACATTTTAAAAATGATTTCCAACCAGCAAAGTGGCTAATGGAGATAACCCGCCAGAGCTGACATCTACCCACATTTGGCGGGTGTTAATGTAAAGCCCCGTATATGATACAAATTTGTCCTGGTGACGCTGAATATCATATACACCGAGTTCATTAAAAGCAAAACAGTCATTTCATTTTTCTTATTTTTTAAAGTCCATCACAGCACTGTATTTTCCTCCAACATAACTTAAACACCACATCTTGAGTATAATCTAAAGCAAGCTTTTTAAACAAACTTACGGGTCGATAGGAAGCGGCTCCTTTGCTGCATCTGCCAGTTCCTTCTGCAGCTTTGCCTGCCTGCGTCTACAATCACATAAATGTGTTAAACACACACACGTTTCACACACATTTATCCTCTACAGAAACTCCCCATATCTTGCAACCGACCAATCAGGTGAGGGGGTTTAATTCTAGCTCATTTCTGCATTAGTGGTCAGAAAATGAGGTCCTTTCAGCACTGCTGGTCAGAAACTGCCGGGTGTCGTCCAGATGTTTACATTGTTTTTAAATGACTCTTAATGACTGAGCAATTAATCAGGAAGGTTAACAATGATGTTCAGTTCACATGAAAACAATGGGCCGTTAACAAGCTTCTCACATCTTTAGGCAATTTCCAAGTGCATTTTCAATCTTTTCCAGTACTTTCCGATATATTTACATGCTTATACATACTTCATCACATAATACCAGATGCTGTTTGTTATGGTATTGTAAAAAACAACTATTTTTGATGGCATTTTCTCGAATTGTACTTGTACATGCGTAATGACAATAAAGTTGAATCTAATCTTGTGCTCTGAAATACATTTGAATGCTTGTTAAAAAAAAAGTGTATTGTACAATGCACTGATATTATGTAGTATCAAAATACAATATATTAACATTTTGCTGTAGAAAAATACAATATGGGTGTCTTAAGGAGCAGAAATACAGCATATGGGCACTTATATGCTGTTGTGTCATCACTCATATAGCAAGTCATATCTCTCCAGCCCTTCATTTGGGTTGATTTTTTTTAACCTGCCCCCACGACAAACTAATTGAATAGCCCTGCTGTAGACTATCAAAACAAATATTGCTTAAGGGAGCGAATAATAATGACCTTAAAATGGTTTTAAAAAACATTTAAATCTGCTTTTATTCTAGCCGAAATAAAACAAGTAAGACTTTCTCCAGAGGAAAAAAATATTATAGGAAATACTGTGAAAAATTCTTCAAGCTGTTAAACATCATTTGGGAAATATTTAAAAAAGAAGAGAAAAAAATAAATAAAAGAAAAACACAGGAGGGCTAATAATAACTGTGTACCATAGGAATGTTATAACAGACAATTTTAGTGGTCTACAAACCTAGACTATTCCAAACCGCTGTAAACTTTGAAACCAGCTATCATCCCATGCCTAGTAATGTTGCAACTGGGGCTGGGCGATAAGGCAAAAAAAAAAAATCTAGATTTTTTATAAAGTTTGACCGATTCACGATTAAGATTTTTTATTGTGTAACTAGTCAACTTAAAATATAACAACAACATGACTGAAGTAGCATTCTCTTTATAAGTAACTTGAAAACCCATCTGGTAAAGGAACATTGTATTTTTAATGACCATGCCAAACTTAAATTGGTCAACAAGGTGTAAATAAATGTAAAACAAATTCACGAGTTATAAATCGTTGCAGAAGATTTGAATAAGAAATATTTGTGTAAATATTGCAGTTGCAGGAATACAGAGGTATTTTTTGCAAGTTTTGCTGAGCTAAGGAAAGACTGGCTGTCAGCTCGGCTTTGACTTTGTCTTCTGATTGAATGACAGGTTGATACAGTGGAAAGACTGAACATGGAAACTGTAAAGTCTAATTTAACCCAATGTGTGAAGTTTTGGACGTATAGCAGGAGCAAATACAAGAACCAGATGTGTGTCTAATATAAAAAAAAATATATTTAATCTATTTTTCTGTTTTCCCCTTTTAAATATCGATCATTTGATGCGCTTTGCACAACTCTCTGTATTATGCTGCCTGATCTGTCTGGTTTTCAACTAGATCCGCTAAATGACGTCATGGGGGCGGGTACTTTCATTTTCACTGCTACAGCGGCTGCTCACCTCTGTTCACTCTCGTGTTCAAACCAAAATATCAGCGCGATTCGAACTAAGATAGGCGCGTTTTTTCTTTACATGGCAGGTTTTTACTTGCTTCATACATGTTGAGATGGAGTTTATCGACTTGATGAGGGAATGTCTTGACAATCCAGACGTGACTCAGACTAATGCAACAAGTAAAATCCTACATGACTTCACGCTTTAACAGTCAGTCAAGCCAGTCGCACACCAGAAGCGCCGCGACACGGCGCGCACATGACAGTTTAAAGCATCACATACCAGATGCGCACATTCGCATGGTATTTAACATGAAACTAATCAGATGGGGCTCTGTGGCGCGGCTGAAATATGAACTGCATCCTGAATCGTGGCTGGGCAGCGCCGGTGTGTGTATAGAAACCTGTTTAGCATTCTAAAATCCATGGCGTTGCGTGTTGCTGCGCGGCCCGTCGCCGAACGGCGCTTCTGGTGTGCGACCTGCTTCATACCAAAGCGCATTGGTGCCATTATAATGTATCAAATTATTTTTATTTTCTTTTTAAATCGCAATTTCTCGATTTAATATAAAATGAAATCGTCGTCAAAATGCAAATTCAAATTAATCGAGGGAAAAAAAAAAAAAAAATCACCCAGCCCTAGTTGCAATGTAGATTTTTTTTTAATCGCATTTAGTGGATTATATCACATTTATTGTGTACACCCAATCACACAAACCCAAGTGTGTATTAAAACCCAGTTCATTGGTCTGTGTGTGTGTGTGTGTGTGTGTGTGCGTGTGTGTGTTAGTGACCTGGAGTCCTTCTCGTTCTCAGCATTGAGTCTGTTGGCCTCCTGGGCTTTCTCCGCCATCCAGCGCGTCACCAGCTCCTGATTGTCCTCGGTGGTTTTGCGCAGTTTCTCCTCCAGAGCGCTGAACGTGATCTGCAGGGCGTCGTACTCGTCTCGCAGCGTCTGATTGGCTCGTTCCAAATCCGCCAGACAGTTCCTGAGCTCACGACACTCTCCTTCCAGCTGCGAGATCTGCTGCAGATACTCCTGCATCCTGAACACACCAGAGTTATTGAAAAAAACTTATTAAAATAGTCTTGTTTTATGCAGGGTTTGGCCAAGTCAAATTTAAGAGCTGTTCAAGATCATTATGAATGAAATTTCAAACTTAAACAGGAAAAAGCACTAAGGATTTTGTCTAATGGCCAGTAAAAAAGATGTAGAAATTTCCCCTGCAAAAAGTCGCATATTTTACATAACATGTCAAAACAAGTGTGACGTTCGCTTGCAGAACGTGTTTTGGATGTGTGTGTGCGTTTGTTTGTATGTGGGTGTGTCATTACATGCGCGTGTTACAGGTACGAACGGCATTGGAGGATCTGCATTTTGTGCTGATGACGTTGGCTGCTGACGCTGGGTTTGCGCCACCAATCGCTGGTTGGCGTAGCGTTTAAAAGCCGAGCCCAAACTGCTATGGCGATCTCTTTCCTTCTCTCACTCTTATTCTTTCTGTGGGTCTCTGTGAGGACAGTCTCTCTTGCGAGGGCTAGCCTGAGAGAATGTGTTTTGCTAGTGTTTAATGCTCTTGTCTAAAGTTTGAGATTTGATAATGCACCGAAAAAAAGTGTTCAGGGCTCAACAATAAGGACTGCCCGATGGCCCGGGGCCAGCGTGTGAGATGCTCGGGACAGTAGACAGGATCGTTACTGGCCCGATTGGGCCACTAATGCCCTGTCACTATTAGTTTAATTTGCCTGTGACTATTTGTCAATTGCGTGCAAATACAGACAGAATACAGAAACCGTTTGTGTTTTTAAGTCTTCAAATGCTACCTTCTCGGTTCCTCTTATCTGATTGGATGTTGTGAGCATGTTATTTTTTTCCATAACAACCAGTACAGCTAAGAGACAGCAACATGGCGGCAACATCGAGTGATGATGCTAAACGAAAACATTTGTGTATAACGTCTTGGAACCAGACTTTTACGAGGGTACACCACGGCAAAAAAAGGAAGTGATGTTTTGTACAGTTTGCCGTTAGTTTGGCAGGTCAGCCATCTTTTGTTTTGCAAAAAAATACCTGCACATTTTGCTACTTTTGTTTGCAAAATACTTTATTAACATTTTTTAAATATTTAAATTCTAGATTTACAAACATTTTGACATTTGTTTTATTTGTGGCTAAGAAATAGCTATTAACTTTTTTTTGGTGGGGCCAGTGACAATATTGGCAGGGCAAGTAAAAATCTGAACCACTGGTCCGATCGGGCCAGTAGAAAAAAATCCTTAGCGTTGAACCCTGGTGTTGCATGCAAAACTGTTCCAAACTATTTATTTCTGTTGAATTTAAACAAACAAATTAGGTTAATAATGTTTAACTTTATTTGTTTGTTCAGCATTATTTGTTATTCAGCATAAATAAATTGTTTACAACCACTTAACGTAAAAAATTGAGTAAATCCAAGGAATCATCTTTGAATAATTTTTTTGTGTTTGCTTGTGAACTTGTCCAGTTAACTGACCTGTTTGAGAGTGATACCTCGGAGAGGGGTAGGAGTGAGTAAGTCGCGCGATATACATATACAACACTGAGATGCATAATTTGTATTAGTTCACTAGGTTCAGGAGGACGTGCTGCTTTCTGTATGTTTTGTTTTTAGTTAGAGCAGTTTAGTTAAGACGTTGAAGATGTTTCTTTTCATGCTTTTCTTTTCATATTTAGTTTAGTTTGTTGAAAACAGTTTCTGAGTTTTGTTATACTTATTTCTTTGATTTAAGCACATCTAACTACTTCCTCTCCCCCAGGTAATTCATCATTTAACCACTGTAAATAGTTTTCGTTCACTGTACAATATATTTTCACTGGTTTCACTGCAAGTCTGGGCAATAAATAAGTGCAGTGATATTTTGTTTTCAGTTCATTTCTTTCTCCATCCGCTTGTTACACACATTAAACTATTGTATGTTGTCACCTACTCCTAGTTTAATATTAACATCTAAAAAGACGTAACAACAAGCAAACTCCAGTTCTATACATACACATTAGGATCAAGTTAATAAATATAACTTTTGTTAAATGTGCAAAATGTTTTTTTTTTTAGATGGATTGTTGATTGTTGGCATGACTGGGTAGCTTTACATGGACATAGGACAATTGAGACCTGTTTAAAACGATTTAAGACCTACAACACAATATTTTGGTGAATTTATGACTTTTTAAGGTCTAAAATTTAGTTTTTGAAGACCCCCAAAATGATCATGTTTGATTATTTTTATTATTTGATTATCACTTTTAATAAAAAAATATGTGAGTTAATAAATATGTAAACAAGTAAATAAACATGCAAGTGGTTATATAAATAAACAAATAAGTAAATAAATAAGCAAGAAATTAAAAAAATAAATAAATACAATTAAAAAATAGCTAATTCTTGAATCCTTCAAAAATATTATTAAAAATCTAAAAAAGTTTAATCTGAAAAAATTAGACATTTCTTGGGACTAAATAATAAATTATTAAATTGTCACAGTTTTCTGACTCATGCATCCTGAACACACCAGAGTTATTTTTTAAAAATATTATCATTTTATGCCTACATTTAATTGTTTTTCTTATTTTATTATCACTAATTTTAATGATAAATTCTGTCAGTTTGTTAATAAATATGAAAATAAATAAAATAATATATATTTATATAAGATAAAGTACAGTTGAAGTCAGAATTATTCGCCGCCTGTTTATTTTTCCCCCATTTTCTGTTTAACGAAGAGCAGATTTTTCTCAACACATTTCTAATCATAATAGTATTTATAACTCATCTCTAATAACTGATTTATTTTATCTTTGTCATGATGACAGTAAATAATTTTTAGACTAGACATTTTTCAAGACACTTCTATACAGCTTAAAGTCACATTTAAAGGCTTAACTAGGTTAATTAGGTTAATTAGGGTAACTAGGCAGGTTAGGGTAATTAGGCAAGTTATTGTATAACGATGGTTTGTTCTGTAGACTATCGAAAAATATTTTACCTTAAAGGGGCTAACAATTTTGTCCTTAAAATGGTGTTTAAAAAATTTAAAACTGCTTTTATTCTAGCTGAAATAAAAAAAACAAGACTTTCTCCAGAAGAAAAAATCAGACATACTGTGAAAATTTCCTAAATCTGTTAAACATCATTTGGGAAATATTTAAAAGAAAAAAAAAAAATTAAAAGGGGGGCTAATAATTCTGACTTCAACTGTATATGAAATAAAAAAAGAAAAGAATGTATTTAATTCCTTATATTTTCTATGAATCTATCCATTATGCCCATGAAAGATGCTCCGGCCTACGTAAACACACAGTAGACTCACTTGACTTCGTTACTCTGGATCTCTTTGTCTTTCTGCTGGATCTGGTTGTTTAATTCAATCACACTCTGGGCCAGCTGTAAAAACAAAACACACACAAAGAAAACCACAAGCATTAAAGAATAATACTAAACCAAAATGTATTTTATCATGTATCACTTATCCAAAAACTACTTTTCCCACAACAATTATCAGCGCAAAAAATTATGAATGTGTTTGCAAGTCTCATGCTGTGTTCACACCAGACGTGGAACACGTGGATAAATCACGATATTCACGCGTAAATAGCCGTGTGAACACTTGAGTTTTCTCGCTTCATTCTCGTGTCAAATCTGCTTCATTTGCGCGTCAAATTCACTTCAGAACAGACGCGGATTCGCGTGATGGGCAGGGCTTCTATCTGCCCAGTGACTCTAGCTTCGTTGCTAAATGGCTAACATGGATTTTACGAAGAAAATAACAGTGTTTATGTGCTTTAGGAAGGCTGAAAAACAGCGTCGATACGTTTGGGTTCGTGTCTGAGTCCACTACATCCTTTCAGAGGTGCATCCAGCTCTGTGAGCTCATAAACTCTTCCAGAAACTGAACCTGGATGATGGAGGCTTTCAGCGGTGCTTCTGACTGAGCCGAGCCCAGTTTGATGAACTGTTGTCGGTGTCGGCAGGTGGATTTTCCCTGGGACTCCAACAACAGGTGTACGTCACAATCATGCCCCCACAAGAGCAAGCTCCTGATTGGTTAACGTGGCGCGAATGTCCGCTGAAGTTAAGACTTTGAAACAAGCAATTCGAATGAGCAAAAGTTTCAATTCGCGTGGCGCTATTCGTGCAATTCGCGTGCCGCCATTCGTGCGTATCGCACCGCAGGGTGTCTATTCGCGCATTTGCATTGACTTAACATGTAAATCACTCGCATTGGACAAACATTCCGCGTCTGGTATGAACGCAGCATAAAGTCTATTGTGAAAACACTGTAAAAATATTAAAACTGAAAAATTATTACAATTTGAACAGTTTTCTATTTTTGAGCACATACAGTTGAAGTCACAATTATTAGCCCCCCGGACTTGGCTAATAATTTTGTCCCAAAAATGGTTTTTAAAAAATTAATAACTACTTTTATTCTAGCCGAAATAAAACAAATAAGACTTTCTCGAGAAGAAAAAATATTATTAGACATACTGTGAAAATTTCATTGCTCTGTTAAAAATCATTTATGAAATATTTAAAAAAGAAAATAAAAATCAAAAGGGGGCTAATAATTCTAACTTCAACTGTATATATATATATATATATATAAATAATCAATTTAATCAATATTCATTTTATTGTAAATCAGCAATAAATAACATTTAATATACGTTTGACTAGTTGTGAGAATATTTGAGAAATGCCAAAAGAAAACATGATTCTATATACTTTAACCAAGTTATCACTTTCAAACGTATTCAACTGTTTTGCTGCTGAATGCAAAATGTCGATGGCTACCAATTTGCAATATTGTTCAAATAATCTTTTTTAAGTTCTACACAAAATGCCAGCAAGTAAAGACAGAATCAGCTATTGAGATGCAACCTCACCCAAACACTTGTGAAACTGGTCTACTGGTTAGCACGCGTGAAGCTGCTTAATATGTAAATGAGGATGTTGACATGTAAATGATCGAGGTGGTAACGCTCACCTCTCCTCTTTTCTTGTGGAGCTCCGTCAGCTCTTCCTGATGTCTGATCCGCATCTGAGACATTTCCTGCTGCAGAGAATCACTGCGCCCGCCGTCCACACACGGACTACACAGCAAATATACACACGCATAAACACACACACACACAAACAAACAGAAACAAACACACACAAATCACAAACCAAACAAGCAAAACAAATACACACACAAGTACAAACAACCAGAAACCCACACAAACAAACAAACAAAAATCACACAAACCACCAACCAAACAAAGACAAATACAGACACAATCATACAGACATATACACACACAAACAGACAGAATCACAGACAAAGAGAAACACAATGGGGTTCTTGTGAGTTTCGCAGAAACAGCTTTACAAAACATTAAACATTAAATACAAAATTATAGGTTAAATAACTGAATACATTTTAACAGAATAATAGCAGACACAAACAGCCGTCAGTATATAAAGGAAAGACTCAGAACTGAATAAGAATAAAATGTTGAAGTCACCAGTTCTTTATTTACCAATTCTGTGTGAAATAAACTAATTAAAAATAAATAAGAATTAATTACAAATTAATTAATAATTAATTTAAAAAATTAAAACACCAAATAATTTAAATAAAAATAATAATTTCCAGTACTTTATTTGCCCATAAAAGATAAAAATAAAATAAATAAAAAATTACATTTTAATTAGTTAATGAATAAAAAAAAATGAAACTACATTATTTAAATAAATTGCAAATAAAACATTTAAATTTAAAAATACAACAAAAAAGCTTAAGCCACAAGTTTTTTATTTACATATATAAGTTTTATTTACCCATTTAAATCAGCACAAAATAAATTGAAAATAAAATAAGTTAATTAGTTAGTTAAAAAAATAACAACCCAATAATTTAAATAAATAAAAAAAGAATAAATAAATAAAATAAGAAACACACACACACACACACACACACACACACGTTCTTTATATACCCATGTAAGATAAAGATAAAATAAAAAAATTTATTAATTAATGAACAAAAAAATACAAACTAAATAAGATAAATGTAAATTAAATAGAATAAATTAAAAAATAAAATGAATACTTTAAAAAATAAATAAATAAATAAATAACATTTTAAAATAATAAAATAAATGAATAAAATAAAAAATATACTGACCAGATCTAAAACCAAAGATGACCAATATTGATCTCAAAAAAGTAAATTGTCTCCAAAATAGTGCATCTGAATTAATTTATCCTTGTGACAGATGAATCTCTCTCTCTCTCTCTCTCTCTCTCTCTCTACTAATGACTAACCAGATTTTGCATTTATATTGCTAGACTGTTTCCTCTTCTCTCTCACGTCATTTCCTTCTCCTTAATGTTAGGATGAATTACAAAATAATGAACTCAGTATTACAGGCACAGAGGTTGTAGTTGTGTTGTAGTGTAGGAAAGGACTTAATGCAAGAAAAAAGTTTCCCATAAGCACCTGAGGTCGTGTCTGTTCTGTTGCTCATATTTCTCAGTTTGGAGACGTTCAGAAAAAACAACCTGAAGATCAGACTTCTCCAACAGCCGGTTATCTGAAGACAAACAGAGTGAAGAAACCATATTCACCAGGAAAACAATGCACGATTGTTTGCATTTAATAAAATGGCATGTATATGAATATAATGCGGCACAATCTCTCAGTGGTTAGCACGGTAGCCAAACAGCAAGGTCACTGGTTTGAGCCTCGGCTGGTTCAGTTGGCATTTCCGTGTGGAGTTTGCATGTTCTCCCTGTGTTGGCATGGGTTTCCTCCGGGTGCTCCGGTTTCCCCCACAGTCCAAACACATGCGCTATAGGGGAACTGATGAACTAAATTGGCTGTAGTGTATGAGAGTGTGTTTGAATGAGTGTGTTTGGGTGTTTCCCAGTACTGGGTTGCAGCTGTAAGGGCATCCACTACATAAAACATTTGCTGGAATAGTTGGCGGTTCATTCTGCTGTGCAACATGCAAACTCCATGCAGAAATGCCCAGCCGGGACTCGAACCAGCGACCTTCTTGCAGTGAGGTGACAGTGCTAACCACTGAGCCACTTTGTCGCCATTAAATGATGCCAGATCCTTTAACAATGCATACGTAAATAATTCAATTTACCAATGGATCAATAAATTGTGTGTGTGTGTGTCTTACATTGGTGTATGATCTCCTCAAAGGCCTGACGCTGTACTCTGTCTCTCTGCTTCAGCTGCTCCACAACGTGACGCTTCCACAAACACTCCACTCTGCGTCCCGCCATCTCCTCCTACAGAAACACACACAGACAGACAGACAGACGGACACATACACACAAACATAGGACACAGAGAGACAGACAGACAGGCGTACACGCACACAAACAGACAGACACAAAAACACACAGAGACACACACATTAAATGTTCATGTTTTTGAAGACCTGCAGATGATGTAACGTGTTTCTTACTGTACAACAGCACTGCACAACAAATAGAAATGATCAAAATATTGTGCGATGATGCATATCGTAAAAGTTTGCTTTAAAGGAGCAATGAAGTAAATGTATTTTGTGCGTCTGCTATCAGCACACCCTCTTTCAGCACATCAGGAAATGCAGTAACATGTCATCACACATCAAGCAGAGTGGAAATGCTGGTTTTCTTCTACAAAATAAAAGGCAACAATGTTAGTATGCATGCTGAAATATGAGCAAGCACACAATCAAGCCATGATGATGAAGGCTCAAAGTGGTGGCTGATATTCATTCATTCATTCATTTTCTTGTCGGTTTAATCTATAGATCTATTTTCTTTTTGCCATCGCCTCTAACCCATTTTTGCCCACATTTTCTAAATGGTTGCATGCATGTAGCCTTGTTAATAGTGTCCTATATGAACACGTTTTGCATTTTTTTTTCTCTAGGTTTATACATTTTTTCAAGAAATTTGTATTTGAATATGTGGCAACTACTTGCTGGCGGGAAGTAACTGGTGAATTTATGTGCTGAATCCTGCGTGTTCTGCTTTTTAAGAATGAGGCAAACGTGAATGGGGCCGCAATTAAACATGTCGACGACCATCTCGCGTTATAGATCACAATCACTTTTGCTTTTTTTCTCTTTTAGGTTTATACATTTTTTTCAAGAAATTTGTATTTGAATATGTGGCAACTACTTGCTGGTGGGCCAATATTTTGTAAACACCCTTCAATGTAAAATGTGAATAGGAGTAGAACATTTAGCATTCTAATAATAAAAATCCTGCCTGCCTGTTGGATATTTCACACTGGATAAAAGATCATCATCTCCAGCTGAACCTCGCTAAAAAGGGAAATGCTTGTAGTTTCTGCCAACCCGACTCTACACCATAACTTTTCAATCCAGATGGACGGGGCAACCATTACTGCATCCAAAATGGTGAAAAGCCTTGGAGTAACGATTGATGACCAACTAAACTTCTCTGACCACATTTCTAGAACTGCTCGATCGTGCAGATTCGCACTCTATAACATCAGAAAGATCCGACCCTTCCTATCTGTACATGCAGCTCAACTCCTTGTTCAAGCTCTTGTTCTCTCCAAACTGGATTACTGCAACTCTCTACTAGCCGGGCTTCCAGCTAACTCTATCAAGCCTCTTCAACTGCTCCAGAACGCAGCAGCACGAGTGGTCTTTAATGAACCTAAACGAGCACATGTCACTCCGCTGCTCATCCGTTTGCACTGGCTGCCAGTTGCTGCTCGCATCAAATTCAAAGCTCTGATGTTTGCCTACAAAGTGACTTCTGGCCTTGCTCCTTCTTATCTGCTCTCACTTCTGCAGATGTATGTGCCCTCCAGAAACTTGCGTTCTGTGAATGAACGTCGCCTCGTGGTTCCATCCCAAAGAGGGAAGAAATCACTTTCGCAAACGCTCACGCTCAATCTGCCCAGTTGGTGGAATGAACTCCCTAACTGCATCAGAACAGCAGAGTCACTCGCTATTTTCAAGAAACGACTAAAAACTCAACTATTTAGTCTCCACTACACTTCCTAATCTGCAATTGCCTCTCTGAATATAACACTAACTGTACCCAAAATAAATAAATAAATAAAAAAATAATTACTAATACTACTAATACTTTCCTTCTTAGACTTTACAGACCTGAAACTTGCCTATAGCACTTATTCATTGTTGCTCTTAGTTGTGTAAATTGCTTCCTTGTCCTCATTTGTAAGTCGCTTTGGATAAAAGCGTCTGCTAAATGACTAAAAAAACTGCTTTCAACGGATCAATTAATATGCACAAACACATTTATCATGTTTAAAATTAGAAAACCATTTGATATGAACCCTCCCAAAAATTATCTATCTTATAATTTCATGAATATGAAGACCCAAGGAACGAATCCATTTGTCTAAAAGTCATTATATACATAATTACTGGTTTTGCTATATTTTTCGCAGTGTAGTGGAAATTAGAAGCACCAAACACAAAGTAAAATGAACTTGTGACACGCTCATTATATTGTTTACCATGATACTTTAAATATTGGGTCTGAAATTACAGCAAGAATGACTTCAAAATAGCACTATTTTTACTCTCTTGCCTTTGAGTGACTCATACGTGTAATTTTTATACCTTATTTTATTCATTCATTCATTTTCTTGTCGGCTTAGTCCCTTTATTAATATGGGGTCGCCACAGCGGAATGAACCGCCTGTATTTTAGTATTACATATATTTGCTTTTCTTACATTTTTAATAAAAGTTTTATCTTTTATTTTCTCAAATATTTCATCCCATTGTAAAGCACTTTGGATCAACTACGGTCGTATAAAATTGTGCTCTATAAATAAAGTTTGCCTTGCCTATCTATTTGACAGTAAATAATGTGCTTTGATAGACAGTGGCTGCTATAATGATTTACCTATTTAGAATTGGCAAACAACACCTTTCTAACTTGACATTATTAAGGAGAAAGTCTGAATGTGAGACTATAAAACCAACCTAACCTCAAAATTTCCTCCAGTGACACAATTAACATCCCAGTTAACTACTTTCCTAAAACAACTGCAATTAAGCAAAAGTGTTTCTTAATTCAGGGCACGTTCAGCTCTTGAGAAAAGAGGAAGATCTTTCCTTCTCTCCTCAACACAAGAGGAAGTTGCTAAAGATCAAACACAAGAAACTGAAATGTGTATGTGTGTGTGTGATCATCACTGAAATCACCCCAAAGTAAATGACAGCAAGCAGTCTTAAAAAGTAGACTGCCACTTCATCACTTATGTTTATAATAGGTTTTATTTATTAGATAATAAATGACACATCAGTGATGCCTTTTCAGATACTGCTTGTGTATTCATATTATAACGTTACTTAACATTAATTATTATGTTACTGTGGACTTATATGACCTGTGCATGATCAGATATTTGTCAATGAATGATAATCGATCGTATTGTGTTTATATGCATCAGATCTGCCATGTCACTCCTGCGGCAGGATGGAAATAAACCTCCCATGATGCTGAATCACGTGTGATGGAGACATTCAAAACATATGACACGTAAAACACGATTCAAAATGGCAGAAAATATTAAATGTAAGTGATAAATCTGAGGAAAAACATGGCAGATCTCTGACAGATATGATGCGAGTAAATTACACTGCTATTTTGTCATAGAGCTTTATTAATAAACCACAAAAGGCGAAATGTACGCATAAAACTGCGGATTTATCAATAAATACGGTGTTTATTAACGTTAGCTGTTTTAAATATGATTTATCAGATCTGCACCGGCTAATCGCAGCGCTTGACTTTCACTTTCGACAAACAGCGGCTGTACTTTACCTCACAGCATCAAAACGCGTCCTCTTGAGGATAACGCCGATTCTTTTTGATGATAGAATTGAGTAATCCGACTAATAACAGCAGAAATGTGTCATTTCAGGGTAAATCGGGTAGGTTTCATGCTAGCCCACACCAGACTGAAGGATCACGGACGCCATTTTGGCTCTACTGACGTATGTTTCCTGCTGCGCCGTCGCGGGAGATCTACGTTACGACCGCGTGCTTTAAGTTCTCACGTTTTCCCTTGAAAAAAAAAAAAAAAAAAAAACGTTTTCCCTTGAAAACTTTCCTCAACGACTTCGTGACGATTAAAAAGCAAATATATATAGTTAAGAATATAAACATCCTTGAATGCCTTCGTGACAATAAAAACACAAATACATCGTCTTAAAGAAACAAAAACTTTCTTTAAGATACTTTAAAACATCTCTTAATACATATTTTTGAATATATATATATATATATATATATATATATATATATATATATATATATATATATATATATATATATATATATATATATATATATATATATATATATATGTGTGTGAGAATATATATATATTCAAAATTCTTTGCATGAATCTGGTAATCAATCTCAGTCCTGATCAAAACTAATAAATAGCTTTGGAAAGGATTTGAACTGTTTCACTGACAAATTCATAAATGATGTGATTAATTTGGTTTAAAAACACAAAATTACATATTTTCAGTATGAAAAGTGATTGTGAACTGGATTTTTTTTACGTTTTAGTCTTGGACATGTGACACAACATTGCTTTTGATGCATTGTTTTTGATTAATTTTACTGTTGGGGGCTGTTTTTGCCCAATTGACTTCCTTTATAACCACATTTATTTCAAAACAAAAAACATACAGTCATGCATTTTTGATTGTTGGTGTTTTTTCCCTGTTGGGAAGAGGTAAAATTTGTACTTTTCTACTATTGATCATTAGTTGGTGCCATAACCCTTTAGAAAAAGGCTTTGGAAGATCATTTCACGACTGAGGAACAGAGATATGAAAGGTTCTGGAAATAAATGTCCATCAACAAAAAGCTTAGTTTCTAGATTTAAAATGGGGTATAACAGCAAGTTAAAGTGTCTGTGAGTTTGTGAGAATGACCTTTGAGCACTTACCTTGATGTGTCTGAGGAAATCAAGATATACATCTCAGCTCTCGGAACAACATGGAGTAAACAAATACAAAGATTGTGTATTTATGCAACATTAAATGAGCTTATAACGGAAGTCAATAGGGCAGAAACAGCCATTAACAGTAAATTAGGGAAACAAAATGAAAATCTAACAACGCATCAAAGCCAGTGTTAATATTAATCGTTCCCGTGTCCAAGACTGTGATTAAAAGTAAATAAAATCCAGTCCACAAGTACTTTCTATGTGGAAAATATATCATTTTGTGTGTTATTTAATAAAATCAGTAAGATAATTTGTGAACTTGGCAATTAAAAAGTTAAAATCCTGTAATTTTCTAAACAGTTTAATAGTTTTGATCAGGACTGAGCTCATTAACATTCATTTATTCATTTTCTTTTCGGCTTAGTCCCTTTATTAATCTGGGGTCGCCACAGCGGAATGAACCACCAACTTATCCAGCACGTTTTTACACAGCGGATGCCCTTCCACTCTTACATTCACACATATTAAACTGCTGTAGACACATCTGAGGTTCAGCTTTTAAGCAACACAAACTCTGCACAATTTTGCACAGATTTTTTTATTATTTACAGAAATGGCTAAAACATAAAGTAAGGAAAAAAAGAGCAGAACAGACAATGTAACATTTATATAACGCACTAAACATGATCCATATAACATGACAATATACATGATAGGAATGCGGAAGTTGAGATTTAATGAGAAACAAACATACAGAAGGGAACTGATGATGAAATAAGCATTTCATATCTGAGACAAAGCTGAATTATATTTCGCTGACAATGAGGAAGTTACATAAAATTGATTCAAGATTAACGCAGTGAGAACTGTATTAATATTTTTAATTATTAGCATTTTTATGTATTTTTGATCAAATTCTAGTAGATTTAAAAATGAAACAAAAAAAATAAGAACAGAGCTAAAAAAAGTCATACTTTTATGACACATGAGTGGCCAAAGCGTGTTATTATTTAAAACAGTTAGGAAATTAATATTGAAAAGAACATATAATAATGATATACAAATACAGGAAATGTATTATAGTGCTGTAGTAAATCAAAAAACCAAAATAATATAACGAATTCAACCATTTTCTTATTAAAAGTTAAGCCTAAATGCAGCTTTGACAGAAAAAAATACAAATAAAGCAAATTTTAGCACATGTACGCATTACTATAAGAGTAATACCACAGTATTTTTTTTTTCAAAGGTTAAGTGTGTTGACTTTTAAGATGCAATTAAATGGGGTCCATGTACAAAAAAATGAAAGACAGCTCAAAATAAAGTCAGTCTTAAACATATGCTTTGGTGATGCTGTTGTCTGATGGAGCAGATCTGTAAATCTTCTGAGGCTGTGCAGCGCTGTAGTTGTAGCCCGGGCCCCTGAGAAAGACACAGACATATTTAATTTCATGATAAATCAAGTTTTTTAACTACAGATTTGTTTAAACAGATTTGTTTGCTTGATTCTGATTGGCTAACAAGCATTCTAAAGTGTTTGGGCACAGCTAAAGTAGTTCAGGCAGATTTCGAGCGCATTACAGCTCCATATTTTTACGATTTGAATGAATGATTTGAGTTATTTCACAGCTACAATCATCAAAAATTACATCAAAACACAACAGAAGGCTTTGGAGGAGATGTGGAAGAAACTAGTGCAACACACAGGAACAGCTTAAAAACAAAAGCCTGACAAATGTCTGAAATACAACATCCTAACAGGGAATTCAGCGGTGGGAAACTTTTAAGGAACATTTATTTCCAGAACCTTTAAGTTCTCTGTTCCTCAGCAGTGAAATTATCTTCCAAAAGCCTTTAAAACATCTCAAATATTTTGAGGAACATTTATTAACCTTTCATATCTCTGTTCCTCAGTGATTAAATGATCTTCCAAAGCCTTTAAAATAAATCTTCTGTGGAACATTTTTTTCCAGAACCTTTTATATCTCTGTTCCTCAGCGGTGAAATGATCTTGCAAAGCCTTTAAAACTTCTCAAAACTTTTAAGGAACATCAATAATTTACTAAATAAAAAGAAATCAGTGTTACCACTGTTCCTCAGTGGTATTTGACCGCTTGCTGCTGAATTATTAAAAACAATGCACACCTGACGTGGGCATGTGGTGTGCATTATTTTCTAATAATTCAGCAGCCTGTCATCGAGTATCCCTTACTTAATTTAACGAAATAAACTTTATAATTACAATTAGCGTAATGTTTTTGCAATAAAATAAGCTTCACTTTCATGCAGAATAGTCTCTTTTTATGTCCTGAACTTATTTGTTTCATAATAAGAGTATGGTACTTTGCTATTTATTGTTGTATTACAGCAATTATATACTAAATTACTTAAAAGAATACCAAGGTATTGCGCTCACATGTATTATATATAATATATATATGTATATTAGAGCTGCACGATTCTGGCTAAAATGAGAATCGCAAATTTTTTGCTTAAAATAAAGATCACGATTGACAGAATGCAGAACATCAATAGTAATATTATGTGTAGGTCTTCTGGTTTCTATAAATAATTCTATTCTACTTATAATGATTCTGATGTTGAATTATTATGTTTGAGATATATGCTTGCAATCTGTCATATTAGACAATTTTATTCACTGGTGAAATCAGACATTTGCCATTATCAGATTATATTCAACAATATATAGGCTAGAGTAGTTATACTGACACTGTAAACATTTATTTTCATGCTTAACTGTGGGTTCGCTATGAAAGAAAAAACAAATCAAATGCTTGCCGTAATCATAACTGTAAAATGCGATTTGATCATTTAAATGAAGTGCACACTTTCGGTTTCATTTTCACTGCTAAGTATACTGTTAATACTTCCCGCACGGTTGCCAAACGATCACTCTGTGCCACAAACTGAATATTATTTACAACTGTATTACCTGTTACTCGCAACATATGCAGGTTCTGTTCCCTAAAGTACACGCGCGCGCGTGTCTATCATTTAGTTTTCAGCTCACGGTCAGCAGCACACGTCACGTTTGATTTCCCGGCCGCGAAAACATCATTATATGAAGACAAAAATGGCATTTTTAGGTGAATTATACCTTATAAATACAGTATGTGACTCATTCAACATCATTTGGAGGTGTCAATGTCACTGAGCAACGAATGTGAAGCAATGAAAAGACTCGACCGGCCGCCTTTTCTTCTCTCCTGAACTTGAAAATATGATTGACAGTATTGTAGAAATGCTGGATTAAGATCGTCTAGGGGTCGCGATCTTTTTAACGATTAATTGTGCAGCTCTAATATATATATATATATATATATATATATATATATATATATATATATATATATATATATATATATATATATATATATATATATAAATATATATATATTACATGCAAAACCTCTTAGTGCTATTATCTGAATTAATTTTTCTAAAATGCAAATTTTTTCCAGCTTCCTATGTTGATATAAGTCCCTTTGAAGATAAGTCCCTTTAAAGGTGATAAAAAATATATTATTTGCTATAAAATTCAAATGACTGAACCTACACACTGGAGCCTGAAGAAAAGTGTGTTTTAGAATAACTGAGATGCCACTTAAAAGTTTTTGCATCTAAATCCTTCATAAATACAGCATAAATAAACACAAATCCATAGATTATAGCTCATGGCTAGAAGATTATTAAACTCTAATCTGCTGAATTTTAATAAAGTAATGCGTCACTTCAGGTGTCCACTATTTTCTAGTAATTCAAAAGACTTCAAAAGAATCTTTCCTTACTTATTTTACATTACACCCATAATGTCGAGTGCTGAATTAATCCTAGATATCCTTACACTGTATAATCTAAATATTCATAGTGTTCATTCAGAATAAATGTAATAGTTCAGTCAGCAACATTGAAGATGAAAACGCCTTTTGTAAGCAGGTCACACGCTGCATCTGTCCAATCAGTGACAGTGACGCTTCTAATACACAAATTAGAACTGTAAAACCCAAGAATGTGTGAAATGTTAGCATATTAATTTGTCATCCTGAGTAAATTATGTGCATTGTGTAACTTGAGGAAGGGTTTGGAGACTCACCGTGTTTGTGCAGGAGATGAACCTTTAAAGGAAGTGCAGAGAGTTCCTCCTCCTAATATACACAGAGCAGCTGCCGCCCATCCCAGATACAGACCCGCGCCCAGTTCATACCTACACACAAATCATGCATTATTAAAACTGTAATATTAAACATAAACTTTGTGTTTAATGGGTTTTAACCCAATAAAGCCTGCTGTATTGTATAGCATAATCCATTCAAGGCTCATGAATCATGTCTTTTTACTGCCCTTTATAAAGTAAACTTAAGTGGTTTTAGATGCATTATTAATCAGATATTAGTTAAACGCACAGATATTGCTAAAAAAACCAATAAAATTACATGCATAACGCATATTCGAGTGTGCATTGTTTTCTAATAACTATATGGTCATTAAATTATTCCTTAAAATAACAAAAAAAGAAAGAAATCAGAAATAAATATGACCGTCAGGCTACTGATGAAGATTTATTTCCAGAACCTTTGATTTCTCTGTTTCTCAGCGGTGAAATGATCTTCCAAAAGCCATTAAAACTTCTCAAATCTTTTGAGGAACATTTATTTCCAGAACCCTTCGTATCTCTGTTCCTCCGTGGTGAAATGATCTTCCAAAGCTTTTAAAAGTTCACAATCTTTTGAGGAACATTTATTTCCAGTACCTTTCATATCTCTCAAATCTTTTGAGAAACATTTATATCCAGAACATTTGATTTCTCTGTTCCTCAGTGGTAAAATAATCTTCCAAAGCCTATAAAACTTCTCAAAACTTTTGAGGAATATTTAATTTTTTTTAAACAATTTGTTCTCTTATTCATTGTTCCTCAGCAGTTTTAATGGTCTTTATTGGTTTTCTATCGACTGAACTGGCTCAATGAATAAATTTTAACATTCGTCAAATCTGTTCCTTCCACAAAATATTATTTAAATTAGAAAAAAGTTTTTTAGATCAGATAAATATTCTCCACACTAAGGAATAAATTGTTGTTTAAGAACTTTCATCACTGCAAAAACATTGACTCATGCTCTCATGATGTTGACCCCAAATTCTGACCCTACGATCTGACTGTGGCAGCAGAAATGGAGACTCATCAGAGCAGGCAACGTTTCTCCAATCTTCTATTGTCCAGTTTTGGTGAGTCTGTGTGAATTGTAGCCTCAGTTTCCTGTTCTTAGCTGACAGGTGCGCCACCCGGTGTGCTCTTCTGCTGCTGTAGCCCATCCGCCTCAAGGTTGGAGGTATTGTGTGTTCAGAGATGCTCTTCTGCAGACCTCGGTTGTAACGAGTGCTTATTGAGTTACTGTTGCCTTTCTATCATCTGGAACCAGTCTGGCCATTCTCCTCTGACCTCTGGCATCATCAAGGCATTTGCGCCCACAGAACTGCTGATATTTCCTCTTTTTCAGACATTCTCTGTAAACCCTAGAGATGGTTGTGTGTGAAACTTGTCCCAGTAGATCAGCAGTTTCTGAAATACTCAGAGCAACACGTCTGGTACCAACAACCATGCCACGTTGAAAGTCACTAAAATCCCCTTCCTTCCTCATTCTGATGCTCAGTTTGAACTGCAGCAGATCGTCTTGACCATGTCTACATGCCTAAATGCATTGAGTTGCTGCCATGTGATTGGGTGATCAGAAATTTGCGTTAACAAGCAGTTGAAGAAGTGTCCCTAATAAAGTGGCCAGTGAGTGATATTTTTTGATGATTTATTGTACATGTCAGGCTTATTAAAATTTGATTTGTCATTTGATC